CCCCAAAACCCCAAAACCCCAAAACCCCAAAACCCCAAAACCCCAAAACCCCATATAAATATACCTACTTATAATAAGAATATACACTCATAAATAGTATAATTATGGAGCATAAAACAAACATCAAAGAAGGAGTCATTGATAAATTAATCAGCTTTGATCTTTCAACACCTGAATATAACCAAGAAACTTATTCTGGAAGGTTTATGACATTATTCAGAACTCAGAACCCCTTTTTCACCTTTGCCAGCACTTCAAAAATCAATGCGGCAAGAAAGATGGTCGCAGAATATGAGAAAACAAAGGAAGAGTTTAAAAGCCAAAATAAAACCTTGCTCATCACTAAAGAAGAGGCGAAAAATCTGAGAAATGCTCAGTATCTTATTGGCTCATCTGTTCATCCTGACACTAACCAAATATTGGCTCCCTACCAGAGATTCTGCTCTTACTCAGTCATCAATATTCCAATCCTATTTGGAATGATTCTTAGTAAGCAAACTACAGGAACAGTGATCTTCTGGCAATGGATAAACCAGACTTATAATGCAGCTATAAATTACTCTAATAGAAATGCATCCTCAGATCTTGGCACGAGCGGATTGCTCAAAGCCTACAGTGCTGCTGTGATCTCATCGATCTCTATTGGGCTCGGAATGAAAAGACTCTTAGCGCCATATTCGAGAAAATTTAAAGGGCCAGGCCAACTTTTCTTCAACTTCATCATCAATGTGTCTGCTATTGGGTCAGCAGGAGTCATCAATGTGCTCATTATGAGATCTGAAGAGATGAAGAAAGGTATTACTCTTACTGATTCCAAAGGGAATGAAGTTGGAAAATCACCTATTATCGGCAAAGATGCTGTCACCAAGACAGCCCTGAGCAGAGTCATTCTGCCAATCCCACCATTGTTGCTTCCTACAATAGCTTTCTTCTTTATGGAAAAGAGAAGCTTGGTTCCAAAAAGCCGGATAGCTAAAGCTCTTACTGAATCAGTTATCTTCTTTTGCAGTATGGTGTTTGCTCCTCCGATGTGCTGCGCTCTTTTCAAGCAAAACTGTTCTGTCGAGGTTACAAAGTTGGAGAAGGAGTTTCACCATCTGATTGATATTGATGGAAAGCCTATTGCCGAGCTTTATTACAACAAAGGTCTCTAAGTTTTTCTTCTCAATTTGAAACAGATCTTTTTCACTTCTTTACCAAAAATGATGGATGAAAAGTTTTCTCTAAATAATTGATTGATTATTTAAACAAGAAAATCTTCAATTTTTTCTATTGATAAGATTTCAGCAGACTGACCTGATAAAGGGGTTTTGGGGTTTTGGGGTTTTGGGGTTTTGGGG